GGGCGCAGGCGGAGACTCGTACGGGCACTAGACGCCGCGGACGCGGCCAACCTGAGTGAGTGAGTATGAGCCCCGCGCCACCGCTGTGGGCCGGCGGCGATGTACAGTGACTTCTCTGTCCCCGGTGGCGGTGACGGTGGTGGAGGTGCTGTGTGCACGTGACTTGTTGGAACCACTTTTTTCTGCGTTTCATGTTTACCTTGTTGTTTGCGTGCTACAGAAGAATGTACTTTTTGTTTTGCTGGAACGAGCTGTTCTTCGGTACGGTCTGCCGCGTTCACGAAGCATGAGAATTCTTTTCGTAAACACTTTCTGAATTTCGTTCTACTTAATAATTTCCATGTTCACATTCACACTTATTACTGAATCATCACTTTCTTCGAACTATTGAACTTCTAATAATTTATCTTCATATTCAAATTCTAAACCTTTATTTTCATTTCAATTACAATTTTGCATTAATTTAATCTCTTGCTAAAATGCTTGTTATCCCCTTAAATGTAAATGTTTGTGATAAAATAACAGATTTTTTTAATTTTTATTTTAAACATTTGTGGCAAATCATAACTAATATTCATTTTATAAATTCCTGCAGATATACGTCCAATTTGAAAATGAAATAGTTATGCGATTTGAATACGCGTTTTATATTTTGAATGTTTATATATAAAAGTTTCAAGGACCAAATTACAAAATTAATATTGCAAATTATAAAGAAGAATTCTCTAAAATTTACTGAACAAAGAAAGATTTATCATCAATTTTGACAGGATCTGTTGCCATCTGATATCACTTCTAACACACATTGTGTGGTTTTGTTTCCGCAGAGATGGTAGCCCTGGCGACGGACGATTCGGAGGCGCGCGTGCGCCGTGATCACGGCCACCACGGCGTCACGGGCCCCGTGCACACCTTCGTGAAGACGGACAAGCACGCGCACTTCAAGTGGGGCGTGCGCCACCACGTCGGCCACGAGTACGCCGGCTAGACGCCTTCCGCGCCGCCCCCGCGCACGGCGGCCCGCCCCGCCTCGCCTCGACCACAAACCGTCTACGACTCGTCCGCAGCTCGCTCTGTCCGCCCCAAGCTCAGGCCACCGGACGCAAACGCCCCACGCCCATACCCAACACCCAACTCCCAACACCCCACGCCCCTCCGCAGACCCTCACAGTCCCCTCTCGCATTCTACAATTGTAGTGTAGCGCCATTCCTTAAAAAACGTAAAGGCCTATATTAACTAGGAGTCCAATATAAATTCATCACAACTCAATGAATTGAAATCCTAGTTTGCTGTCCATCGGTCTGAGCTTAACATGGGCATAAAAACGATTCCTCCGCCCAAAGAATACCTGTGTGCTGCAGCACATCATATCTGTTGTCCTTTGTTTCTTTTTCTCTCACTTTTATTTCGTAATACAGTTATGTTATTTGTCTGTTAAAACTACCGTACTTTTTATTCATCATCTTCCTTTTATACTTTATCTTTCTATTCCTGTTGTACAAAGTCATTCATGATTGTCTGTATTCAGTAACTTCCGTGTGCTGCAAGCACTCAAGTCAAAATTATCATTTATTTTTAGACTAACATATAATTCATGGAAAAGTGAATAATATTTAATTGGTGGGTTATCGTTTTCCCACAAAAAAATGTCTAAATTAAAGATATAATCCATAAAAATATTTAATATTTATATCAATTAAATTATGCTGGCTTGACAGGAGCTGAGTTCAACTAGTCCAAAGAAATAACAAACGCATGTTTATTTATAACTGGAGTTGTCGAGATTTCATAGATGGTTTCTCATTAACGTTATGAGCTGTTTAAAATATTCCAAATGGTTTATACTTTTGTAAGTTAAATAAATGTTTTTCTTAGCAGTTTTTGTTCATATTATTTTTATCCTTCCCTTCAGTTGCAGTAAATTACCGAGTAATTTGAAAATTAACAAATTATGTAAATAATATACGGGTTTCATTAATCAATTAAAAGAATCTACCATAAAGATGAACATATTTTATTCAGAAAAATAAAATATAAATTTTCATTTCTGTTCACATCATACGTTAAAACAAGGCACATTGAAGGGCTGAGAATGAAAATCAAAAGGAACCAAAATGTATTTGTCAGGCGACATGAGAGTCACTCTAGAACATTTTGTAGATTAAAAAAAAATATTATTCAACAGATTTAATTGAATCATTGGAATGATTGTCATAACCGACAGCAATATACTAGCAAATAGCAACCGATAGTCAATATGAACTTCAGCAGCACTGAAAAAGACTGGTGCTCAAAATATTTTCTACCTAAAAATGTTCCCAACTAAGTTTTCATTCTTAATCCTTCAATTATGAACATACAAAGCGGCGACGTGTCAGTCATCTTTGTTTTGAACCAGAGGATAATAATTGCTTTCAAATTTCAGCAGCAGCAGTTGCGTCTCGCTTCAACCACAGAAAAACGCTGCCCATTGAAAGAAAGTTAAATCCACACAAAAGTTGACAATTATTTCAAATTTTCCATGGCACAATTTTTGTACGGCATACAGTTTAAGCATACAGTGTAATCCAAGGTGGGTTGCTTTTTTGACTATTTAAGTCAAGTCAAGTCAATTTAAGTCAAGTGCGTGCTCACATAAAAATCATCGATAAATTTACCAGCTCTTCGTTTCTCCTCATTCACAAAACTATAGTTATCACTACAAAACATTGCAAATTCAAAAAACTTAATATAAAAACAAAGATAAGGGAAAAGGGAGAAAGGAGTACATTTATTAAATTAAGAAATTTTGACGAACTCAAACACAAACACAACCAAGGAAACTCAAACCACACGTGGACGGTTCGAGAGGGACATGGACGCTCTTACTGCTTCCGTAGTGCCTGGTAGATGATGTTGCCGCCTCCTGGTTGTTGCCGAGGCGAAGCCGATGGCGCCCTGCTTTGGGGGCCCTGGGGGCGGCGGGGGCCGGCCGGCGGCGACGCGCGGGCGTTGTGGGCGGCGGCCGCGGCGTGCTGCGTACTGGGGCTGGGAGTACTGCGCTTGGGCGAACGCTGCGGCGCGGCTGAAGTTACTGCTCTGGGCTGCGCGGGGCAGGGGGCGGACGAACTGATGGGCGAGTACTGCGCTTGCGGCGCCGGGGCGGGGGCGGGCTGGCGGCTGCGGCTGAGGCTGAGGCGCCGCCGACCTGGCCTCCGGCGTGCGGGCAGGGCGCTGAGGCAGCTGCGACAGCGACGCGAACACCTGCGACCTGCGGAGCTGCACGCCCAGGTGCCCTGATTGATTCAGTTGAATTAAGTTGCCTGATTTAGCGTGGTTGAGACTCAGGCCATTGGGCCGGCCTCTTTCCGTCCTAGATCCCAACGCAAATTCGCTACGCTCCTTTCACAACTAGCAGAGGAGGCAGAATTTCTGGGCGAGAAATAGGCGATTTTAATTTAGCTCAGAGGCGTCGTTTTAGGCTTGAGGGTTCTTTCACGTTGCAAGTAAAATCCACGGAAAAATGGGCCAGCCAGCTTTTACTTCCCCTCAAAGAAGGAAGGCGTACGACGAGGCAATTTTTCTGCGGGCTTCGATCGGGTGTGAAACCCGCCAAACTTTGGGTACAACAGTCCGATACGCTAGATCGTTACACCATCGCCGCCGCGCATCGAGCGCGTCCCTAAACATCGCCGCGCGCCCCTGCGATGGACCACACCAAAACACCCAGCCCCGGCTTGGGGGGGGCTGGCACAACCCCTCCCTTTGGCGGGCCAACACATATATCAGGCCGGGTGGAGCTTTTCTCCTCCGGATATAATGGTAAATTATTGATATTTATTTAGTTTCTATAAGTGGTTTCAACCTTGCGGTAAACAGCGTGGCAGTGGTAGTCAGAAGAATCAGGAGTTGCCCAGGGTTAGTTATTTGTGGAGTTACCCTGACAGAGAAAGCTGCAAATTAACGTTCATTCACACCTCGTGTAGTGCTAAAGGCCAGAGTAATACCTTCCCTTACTGGATAACGCGTATTCAAACTCCTGGACCGTTAAATGTGCGAATTGAGGTGGGTAGATAGGGCGTTTGAAGTAGGTTTACTCCGAAGCGCCTTCCGTTCTTCTTCATCCTGTTCTTCCTCCACGCGCTGCCACCATCAAAATATAATGGTATGATACGATTCGTACGTATAATCACAATCCTCATATTTAGCTAAATTCGCAAAGGCATAGATACTATAATATGATAAAAGAAAAACAGAAATAATAGGGATAATAGAAGTTTACAGTGCCTGTAATGTATGGGGTAAATACATAACCGACCATAGTTCCTTGATCGGTTGTTACTAAAGGCAGTTATCTAAAGACATTTTCGGCTTGGAAGACGAACTCTCTGGAAAGGAAAAATCTTAGAACATTATGACTTATGAGCTTTTAAAATATGTGTAAATTGATTTATAAATGTTACGTTGGGTACGGCTGTTATCACATAGCTATTGTGCATACAACATCATATTAATACGCTACGAATATATCCAAAGCCCTATACTTAAATGTATGTTCATGTCAAAAAGTATTACTATTGTAATGGAGATAGGGGCCATCAATGCCACCGAACAGAGAAGGTAACGGACTCGCGAGCATAAGAAAATATTTCGCGGAAACTATAGCTTCAACTTTTCAGAAGGAATAGCCTCTGTCTATGTTAACAAAAGAAGGCCAAAAATCTCCGACTATCAGCACTCTTCAGAGGTAGCATATAAAGCCAAGACCTTGCCAGATAGGAGGAAGTAAAAGCCAGGACCAGTCCAGGAATATCTGCATGCGCCAATATATGTAAGGTGGATCGTGTGGTCTCGAAAAATCTTTCAATACTTCTGCGCTCAGCGCTTTGAAGTTCCCTAGAGGGTTCAATAATTAAAATGAGTTAGTGATTATCAAAGAACTTCACAAGATAGAAAATGATGGAAAAACTTCCATATTTATGTTATAAACTGTTAAATACTTTAATGTTATCTTATATTGTTAAAGACAATCCATTGCTAAAAACAACAATAAAATTATTAACAACTATAGAATTTGCAGGCTTCAAAATCCGCAGCTGATTGATATTGATGTTTTCGCTAAAACACTTCGTATCTGTCAAAAGTGACGGGTTCGTCGTACTCAGTAGAAAGGAAACTTGCCGCTCCTTCGCTAGTGTTTAAATACAATTTTTAATAAAAACGTTTTCGTAGATTATTTTAAAAAATATTTTTTTAAAAGTTCCAATTTAATTAAATAAACAGTAAATGGAGAAATTTCATTTCAAACAGGTTGCCAATTGGGTTCTTATTGAATTTGATTGAAGGATAATAATCATAACATTTGTCGTGAAAATTGATTATATCATTTGCAGGAAAAGGAAGAAACGCACATGAACTTAGGAGAAGGTTTAATGAAGGTCAAGTATAAAGGCTTAGTTAATCAGAAGTTTAAGATTGGCATATGGGCACACCACTGTATGTGGTTTCAATTTATGCTACAAGATTTGGAATCTTCATATCCATCCATAACCTCTCAAATATGTTATTATTTTGAGATTAATGAAAGGACTTCCAGCTTCCTCCAAACTATGATGTTACTCTGAAGTGCCCAAATCCCCAAATATGTTATATTCACGAACTCTAATCGGCAAACTCGTAAAATATAGTATAGAACAGCTGTTAGGGTATTCAGTAATGAATTCGTGCATTGTCTATATTGATCACATAACTTGGAAAGAACACTTGATATGTCATACGTTGACTCCACAATGAAAATATGTGTGTATCCATTGCGAACTATTCATTTTAGTTCTTTATGATTTATTGGAAATATTAATTTTGTATAAAGAAAACGTTTCAATTATTTAAGATTTTCAAGCGTACACGGTAAAGACTTTATCTTGAAAGAGAGCATATTTAATCTTATAAGAAATGTGTGATGACGTACAATATTTGACCTAAGGACGCTCTTGGGGATCATGGTCCCTCTTCGAATAGGTCGTTGAGGGCCCCCACACCTCTTATGTAATAACAATATTCACTATCTGTTAAATATCTGTTCAATTCCTGTTTTTTTAAAACAATGTAATACTGATTTTGCAAAAAAAGTAATTACGCATTTTAAATCCATTTAATCCCATTTCAACTGTATCTTAAACATTCGGCGTTTTCAGAATAGTGTTTTCGACAGAACATCACTCCAAAAATACGGTAAGGTCAGAGTCGTTCCACTGTACACACTACCCAATCGATCGCATTTTTACAAAATTCCCAAAAGATATACTGAAATTTTATCCTGAAACGGTAAATATGGGTGTACATGAATTACAACAAGGTGAATTAGTAGAGAGGCCCAGAAAATGAAGTTGAACCTCTAGTTTTTAGACTGGTCATCGACTCCGACCAAGTTGACTACTAGGGTGTAAGGCTAGGTGATTAAACATTGCACTCAACAAAGTAGTTCAATTTGCCGTGATTCTCTTTTTAAAGCGGGAATAATCTGTCAAATCGATTTGCACCTGTTTTCCAAAAATAATTGCCTCCCGACAAAGGACGAGACCAAATTCATGTAAATGAATTTAATAAACGAAAAAAAGGAAGGAAAAGCGGCGCCCCTCACAACAGTTATTACTTCTTGTCAGTTTATTTTCATAAATCATCTATCGAGACAACACACCCGTACATTAAATATCAGGAAACTATGACCTTTTATGCACTGACAAATGATTCACCAACAGCAAGTGTGCATAAAGTCAGTAAGTGTGGCATATGTGTCTTACAAACAACTTCATTCATATCACCGTTTTGATGGTGCGGGACAAATGGAAACCAAAAAAAACTAACGAACCATTTCCACATAACCATTTCCGTGCCTCAATTTTCTAGGAATATTTCTATCCACATAAACAAAACTCCCATAGACGAATTGATCTCGTTGAAAAAATTTGCTCCTGCTGTACGGACAAGATCTTGCCACCGAGCAAGCGGACCGCCCGGCGAATATGCAGCCGTCGTTGATATTTCTGCCAGCTCTCGACACGAGCACCAGCGACGGCGCCGTTGTTCACGGCAGAGCACGCAGAGCACCCCCGCGCGGGACTGCTGCGCAAACGCTGCCAGGGAACCCTGTGCCAGCAGAATATTCGTCAATTTTTATTTTGGGCAATAAGGCCTTCTTCCACGTGTATAAAGTCACAATACCGTGAGTTAAGCTCTTACCATTTGATTCAGAATAATGTTTTCGGTCTTAGGCTGAGTGTGAACGCACGGTAAGCAAAATATGAATTTTCTGCCTCTCCCGAAAGCTTGCACCGGCGGCATTACTTCGCAGTAGACTGCATTTCTTCGTTTTCCACACCAACGCTGCGCTCGGATAGCTGATGAAAACCTGATCACAATTTTTATGAATTTGTTTCGGACAACACAAGGAACAAGTTCTTACAATGCCATCCTCCTATCATGCCGAATTATAGTTTTTAAGCGTAGAGCAGCTCTGACTCAGGTTCTTAATTCGGTGGGGCCGCAAGTCTATCTGCCACTCGCGTGACAATCTCTGTTGTTTGAAATTTCCCTCGTGACACTCCGACAGGTTTACTGACCTGCAACTTAGTTCGTACCACTCTTCAACTCAGGATTTTCCAAATCAAAAACTGTTACCAGTCTGTCACTTAAAAATGTAAACAAATGGTTCGAATAAGATGAGTGTAGAAGATAGTGCTTTAATAAAATTATTCAAAGACTTTGCTGAGACCACTGTGATTCTCCTATCTACAATACCATGGACCGGACAAGACATTACCACGCACATCGATATCAGCTAAGCCAACACAGGAGAATCTTTGCATACAACACAGTCCGTATGGTAGATTCATTTTACAAAAAAGTTGCTCTTCTTAAAAATTCTCGAGAAACTATACAGTCCGCAACTGCTATTTCTGCCCTCTAGCGAATCAAAGGCGAGACGCGTGGCTAGCATTGTCAATCGCTCTTATTTTTTACATTGAAAAATCGCTAGAATACGTCTGACAGAAAGCACATTAATAGCGAAGAACTGTCTCGACTCCAGATATCCACGCGTTGTTTAATTATCATGTTAGAATGTTGTAAGTCTGCGAATATCAAGAACACTTACCCACGTCCACTCTGACTGTATTCTGAAGCTCATAAGGCTACCTCACCACACACGAAAAGCCAATTATCACCAACGCTGTATTGGTTAACTAGTGCATTTGGACAGCCAATGCTTCATTTTTGTTCTCATTTCTCCTCCTGAGACTCGAAAGCGTCATTTCACTACAAGCCGTGTATGATAAGAACACGAACCTTAACTTTTGTCGCAGCATCAATTCGCATTGTCTCACATAAATCGGGTTAAACTATATAAGTCAGTATTCTCTTACCATCGACTGCTACTTAATGGTTCAGTATTGCTTCAATCAATCGCGCCATACCTGGCTCTGCAGTAGGGCACAAGAGCTCCACAGATCACATCCATCTCGCATGTAAATGAGTTCTTGAAGTCACTAGAATGTTCCATATAAGCCTATTAAACAATACCTAGACAATATTCATTCCTACTAGTCGTACTTCATCTTGCCGATGCCAAAAACGTTTCAAATAATCGATCGGCGATGGAGCGTAGCGGAGCCGACATGGTATCGGTACCGAGGCGTAGGTACACAGCAGCACTGTGCGACCTCTAAACTTCAACAGGGTTGCCATGTGAACCAGGCGGTTCTAACAATACCTATATAACATCAAGTAATATCTTCCCGAAAATCTAATTCTCCTCACATCTTAAGCCCAGCAATCTTTACGTGCCTGTCTACTTGCTAACCTCGTGCATCGTCCGAGATGACGTACTCCTACCGTGACAACTCTCAGGTACCTGTCATGGCGTCTGCAGTCTTGGCGCTGCGAAGCGGGAGGTCCTTGAGGCCTCCCACTGCGGCGGGTATGGCGGCGCGGCGGCGTGGGGATCTTCCAAAACCACAGATGTTGGTCGGCGCGCCCGGGTCACCTCAGGGCTTGCAAGCCCTGGACCACACGAGCTTACGAACTGAGACATCCTCGTCTGTTCTTTGGTCACA